AGACATTTTTAATTCAATTAACCGACACATTTGAAAGCTACATTCTATATATGCAGCTGTGTGGAAATATTTTACAATGAAAACACTACAAAGCAAGACTGCATCATGCAAATTTTCAAAGTCATTATTAGCTAAGGAGCAGAAAGACAAAAAGCAGCAGCAAAAAGGAATCGCATCTGGAGTCATTTTATAATCAAGGTAAACTACTTCCATCAGACAATGTAAAAATATCAATGATTACTATGGATGTTTATGCATTAGGCACTTTGTTTTAACATCTCAACACCTTGACTTGCCTCTGAACGTGTATATTTAATTTGTGCTGATGACACAAAGCATTTTTCCCAGATTGAATTAATACAGTCAACCTTAATTCTTACTGTTGTATATTTGTTTTCAGGTTTTTTTCTCTGATTCCGACTCCTAACTGTATACTTCTTTCCAGTTGACTTTTGTAATAAGCATTTGTACATTCTGACATATCGTACTTCCCTGTAAGAGAGGAGTTTATTACAGCCCGTTAAAAATATGCAACAATGATGATAGTGCGTTAGTCCGGTTTCAGATAACTGTTGGGATAAGCAGTAATCCAAATTCAGGCATCCAGATGGGATCAGAGCTAGAACAATGTTGTTCGTTGCATCTCTTGCAGAAAGTCTTGTTGAAAAAAAAGTCAAAAAGTTTGGATGCTTGTCATTTTAGTGTATTCACAGTTTTAATAATTTCTTATCTATTTGGGCATCCTCTAAAAGTGCTATATTACTGCATGTTAAATATTGCCTCAGTTAATGACAACTTTAACTGGATATTTAAAGTTTTTATTGTTATCTGCTCGGCAGCAACAGTCATAGAACACAGAGCAGACAACCAAATTCTCACAAATCTTGGCACTGATGATGGACTGGATCACTAATTTATTTCACCTGCTTAGCTCAGCCCATTTTCTCATTGCCATTCATCTTGTCCACCTGCTCCAGCTTTTATTTTTCCTGCCTGCTTCCAGTCATCAACCCAAATTATTCTTGAGCCAGTGGGGAGAGTGTTTCGACATTACCTGGTCCTGAACTTTTCTGCCTCTCAACCACTGAGCCTGCCTGTTCCTGTCTGATCTGTTTGCCTGACCTGCCTTTGGACTCCTGCTGGATTCTGCCTGTCTGCTGAACATGGAGCTGTTTGGACCTTTTGGAACCTCTTAGGACTTCTGATCTCCTGGTTCTAAATCCTGAGCATGTCCTTGATGCCCGCTTAGCCCTCTTCACCTCCCCGGATCTGGTCTTCTTCTTCTTCCCTGTGGCTGCAGTGTCTGGACACTCTGGGAGGTTCCCCTGCATCTTGTTGGCAGCTCACAGGCTGGATTCTACCTCCTTCTCTGGGCACGGACTGAACTATTAAACCAGAGGTTCCTGCCTTGGACACCCTAGCCCAGCCAATGTAGATCAGTTTTTTTTTTTATAAATGCTTTTGATAAATCTGTAGGTCTACCATGAATATTGGTCCCCTGTTCAGAGCCGTGACATCAGAACCTACTTATGAGTATGCAACTGGTTCTTGGATCCAGAATCTCCATAATTGCTTTGACCTTCTATTACAGCACCCAACAAAAATACTTTCTAGTAAGTCTGAGATGTGTGATCCATAAATATATGGGAACATTTAATAACATTTAATCTCCATTTTGGGTAAAGGAATTTTTAAATACCCTCAAAAAGCCAAAGAGCTTTTTACCAAGATGTTTTAAATGATGGAAGGAAAGTGTGATCCTTGAATCCAAAAAAAAAGGGAAAAATGAAACCATTTTGCACATAAATAAGTATAAGTATTGCATTAAAACTAACTTCATATTTGAGAGTGTAAAAGCTGAACCCAGTGTCCTGTATCAGCAGCAGGAGGTACGTATTACACCATAAGCTCTGATTGAAAATGTCACTGATGGCTGATGGAGGGTCCCAGGGTAGTAAATGACCCATCGCCTCGTAGGACGGGCTTCATCTGTCTCGCTCTCACTCTGCAGCCTCTCCTCCAGCCCCTTAAGAGGCAGTTTTCACTGCGGACCCAGGGGTCAGCTGGAAAACATACACTCATAAACAGCATCTATTATTCATGTCTTCAGCCCTGTAATCCACTCACATCACGCAGCGGCTACAGCAGTTGTCCAGCCACTTTGTTCGCTGACAAACAGATTGGATTTGTCCAGCGGCAACGTCTACGTTTAATTTGATATAAGGCCGCCAACTGTAGTTATCGTGGTGATAAACACATCTGGGTTGCATCTGTGATGAACAGTCGGCAGCCGTACACACTTGACAGCAGCCGCGTTTCTGTAAAGTTAATGATGATCACTTACTGTAAATACACTGTTTGTACTGTTGCCTTTTTCTAATCAACTGGCTCAAAACATTGGGCACAAAAATGAGTCATTTGAGTATTATGAAGTCCTTTGTTGATGCCTAAAAGGGCCAATTAGGACTTTTCCAGCACAGGGGTTGTCTCATTTTCACGATGTTAGCTGTCGTGTGTGAGAGTGGGCCCAGCTTGGCCCAGATTTGACCGTGTCTTAGTGTACTAATCCATTAGTGTCCCCAAAGGCCTCGTGATTACACACATTGCTAATACACACATTGGCGCTTTTCTTCCGAGACTTTTCACTGATGGTATCAGAGGCCACTTGGGGGGTTTCGGTGTGTAGCTGTGACTGTCTGAGGTGGGGGTAGATGGAGATTTGTGCCCGTATTTGGGGTCTGGCAGCTCATAATGCTTTCATTTATCTCAGAAGTGGAGTGATGCTTGTCTCCTCACCCACCCCCAAAAGCTCCCGCAAAAACCGCCTGTAATCCTGCATTTTCCTACCAGCCTTTACAACAGCAGTAAGTGGCCCAACCTCTAATGATTTTAATCATCTGCAATCAGGCCCAAGAGTCTGACTCTCTGTACCAAGGACAGAGAGAAATGAGGGGAGTGGGTTTTCACTGGTGGCGGTGGAAAGGTGGCCATGGAGCAGTGTAGAATCACTGCACAATTACCTCCAGAGCTATGGGGGAACATGACTCCAAACTCGGAGACAGAGAGGAGAAATCAGAGCGCCGCTCTGGCTTAAGCGGCTGATCAGTCAACTGCGTGTTTGGTTATGTGTAACAGGAGAATCGCAAGTCCTCATCATGTAATTTGACAGTCAGTTTCCCACTCATCACAGTGGCAATGTGCTGTAACCGTACCCGGGATGATTTTAGTCTTTAACTTTGGGTAATGGTTCATTAAGCAACATAGTTGAAGGAGATTGAGAGAAAGGGGACATTGATGATGCTGTACAACTAATTAAAGTCTCGAGACATTGTTTTTTATGTTTTCCAAGGAGTCATACTGTGTTGTAATGCTGTCTGCAATCCTCTTGGTTAATATTTCTTCAATGTTTTTAGGGACTTTCTAGGTTTTTCTTAAGACTTTTGATTTTGAGGCAGTTTAAAAGTCAACCTATATTAAGTTATATCCTTTGATTTTTTTTTTTTTTTTTTTTTTACCAGGAGTCTCTGAGTAAACCATGTTATTCTCATTTCTCTACACCTGTTCATTTATCTTTTTTTTAATGATCAGAGATCAGGTCACAGAGGTAATGGAAGGGAATCCAGAACTTTTCACCTATTCAGCACATTTTGAAAGGGCTACCCTGCTAAAAGGGAACATAAAAAGAACTTTACTGAACCCAAAAGGAAATTAAATGTTGTAGTAACTCATAGGATTTTTTTAAGGAGTTGTTGTGCTTGTTTATAAGACTTGGATTGGATAGAATCCTTTAGTAGTAGTCTGTCTGGCCGAGTCTGGGGATGCTTTTGTCTGAAGACACTCCTTTTTAATCTTCTGAAGAGGATGCTCACTGTTGTCCAAAATCTTCTTCACTTTATGAAGAAGTCCTCTTTGTGAAATAGTTTTCAGAGGTTCTAGAGGAGTTCCTTAACAGAGCTGCCCTTTTTTATTAGCTTGTTGAACTTTTTTAAAGTTATTTGCTCTGATGCTTTCATCTCAGCAGATGATGGATGAAGAGATTACACTCTCCACAACAGACTTGGAGAGGATCGGCATTATCTTCCTGCAAACACTGAAGGACCAAAGCTTCCTTAAAAACTCCAGTCTTCTCGGTCCCTTCTTGCAGACAGCTTCACAGTTGCGCCTCAAGTCGAACTTTTTTCCAGGTGAACACAAAGGTATTTATACTCCTTCTCCCATGACGGTAATAGGATTCAACTTATTCCTGTTTCTTTAAAAATCTTTAGTTATCTCACATGTCTTGTTCACACTCAGTATCAGATGATTGTTTCAACACTTCTTTCTCTTCGTTTCTATCTCTGATATGAGATTAGTTGGAGCTAAGAAAGAAAAAAAAAAAGACTTGAGACCAAGGAAGAGGTTCAGCTTCCACTGGTCAGCAATCTACAATTAAATGACTCAGTTTTATACACAGTATTAGAAAGGCCCATTCAAAGTCCAGACCCGAATCCAACTGACAATGTCATTAGATCCAAAATTTGCATCCTTCTAATCATTCAGGTGGATGCAATGAAGAGTTGGGCTAAATTTGAGTTTCTAGGGAGGTTCAAGTCTAGTTCAATAAAATTTTCAATTCAATTCAGTTTATTTATATAGCGCCAATTCACAACACATGTCATCTCAAGGCACGTTACAGTTCACCAGATCATACAGTCAATTTGATTCAAAGTTTTCTGTCAAAGGATAAAGCAGTTGATTGCATCGACTCATTGACTCGAAGGTTATCCCTCACACTAAGCATGCTTGTAGTGACAGTGGAGAGGAAGAACTCCCTTTAAAAGGAAGAAACCTCCAGCAGAATCAGGCTCAGTGACAGCGGCCATCTGCTGAGGACAACTGGGGTTCAACGAGACAGAAGCAGAGATACTGTTGGGATCTGGAGATTCTCCACCTTCTCCAGCAGAGTGCGCTGTGGATCCTCCTGGGCTGGAGCCCTCCAGCACAGCTGACGCTCATCAGCCCATCTGGAGACCGGCCTTTATAAGCAGCTGCCAGACCTTCCTTCGACGCCGCAGTGTTAGCCAAGTTTGGTTAGCGAACCTGAGCCTCTGAATTTGCTAGTAGTTATCTTCCTAGAGAAACCTAATTCTAATTGCCTCTGTCTTCCCGCTCCTAGGAAACCAGTCTCTCGAGAGAAGCTCTGGATGAGCTTAACCTGAATCTGCCTGCCTGCCCTAGAGAGCCAAACCTGAAGACCTCACTCTGGAATCCACCAGCTGCTCTTAGGAAAGAGCAATCACTCCAACCAAGGTCTGTTCACTGGAAGTCAGAAGCTAGACGCTGCTGCTGCCCTAGCACTCTGCTGAACCAACAGTCTCTGGACCCAACCGGTTCCCTCTCTCAGAATTAACCTGGAACTCTTCAAGGTATCCACTGAAATATCTGAAAACCCATTTAACTCATCTGTAAACCAAGCTAACCAACTATCCGTCTCTGCAGACGCCAGAGAATCCTGCCCGGACCAGAACCTGAATCTTGCTTTTGTTTTGTGTGAAACTTTAATAAACTCTGTTAAACCTTTTACCAAGTCTCCAGTGGTGTTCTGCATGTGGGTTTATCTCTAAACCGATCATGACAGATACAAAAACTGTAAAAGGCATCCCCATCCAGGAAACACACAGCCAGGCAGACGAGCTTCGAGCCAGCTCCCATGTCAGAGGATGAAGAGAGCACATCCATCCAGTCACAATCAGAGATTGGTTGATGGCAGCAGCACAGCTGATATTTCTCTCCAGGATCGAGTCACAGGCGAACAGGAACAGATGAAGCAAAGCTACTATGAGAAAAAGCAGACTTTAGAGATTTACACTAACAGATTTTGCAGAGTGGGAGAATAGAGATAGAATTATGAAAAAGGGGTCCCTATGTCCTCCAGCAGTCTAAGCCTATAGCAGCATAACTATAGAGATAGCTCAGGATAACCTGAGCAACTCTAACTATAAGCTTTATCAAAAAAGAAAGTTTTAAGACTGATAACTAAAAGATCTGCCTCCCATTCTACTTTTAGAAATTCTAGGAACCACTAGTAAACCTGCAGATTGTGAGCTCTGTTAGGAACATAAGGAACAATCATATCTCTTATATAATACTCTCGCAGATGCATAACCTAAAAGACGCGTGTTTAGAAACTATTGACTTGGGACATGTAATTCAAGTTACATACAGGGGATCTTCTGAGGAAACATAGTTGATTCTTTTTGATTTTCATTTTTTTGGGGGGGCCTGAAGACCCCCTGTCTTCCTTTTGTTTAGTAAAAAAAATGTATAATACTGATATTTAGATAGTTATATCTTGGTTTTTATTTATGTTTATTTTTTTATAATCTATATTATATTTATTTTATTTTATAACATTTAGTGCTAAATTTTTTTTTATTGGCCGCATAAAATTCCAATAAAATGTGCTGAAATGTGTCGATGTGAATTAAACGGTGTGGAAATACATTTTTGAATTCTATGTGGAATAGACGAGTTGGAATAAACCAGTAGGGTACTTATGGTACAAGCTGTTGTCGCTGTAAAGGGGGACTGACCCCATAATAAATGCTATGTATTTGAATACAGTGAGACTGTGGACCTTTTCATAAGGGAACTGTGTCTTGTGGCCATCACTGGATGAGCCTCCATATTAACAACACAGAAAAGTTGTTTGTGCAGGGAGGGAGTCTAAGAGGTGGGGGCACTCTGAGCAGGGCTCTGCCAAAGCTGCATGAAGCAGGACCACCCAAGGTGGCGTCACAAGCTTGGCAGGGATTCAGGGAAGTCAGTTGGCGGGCCGGCAGGCAGCCTGTGCCCGGGGCCCAGGCACTCTGAGGAACTGCCAGAGTGGATGGAGATATTCAGCTCTGCCCAAAAAGGCCACTTCAGCCTCCCACAGCATAACACAGCAGAGCCACAGTGATAGGGAATATATATGCGTGTCCGTCCGTGTAGGTCTGGGAGAGCAAGGGAAAGACGAGGAAGATATTTTTAGGGATTGGTTTCCTATGATTTAAAAAAAAAAAAAAAAAAAAAAAAAAAAAAAAAACTTTCCCATATGGAAATGATGAGGTTGAACCAGAAAATGTTTATTCATGAGAAACCCAAACATCAGCAGCATCTATCTTAAGATGTCCCAGTATAGTTCACAGCACAGTACGCTGCTTTTTTGCTCCATCGAACCACTGTTCTCATATAAGCTCCGCAAATGTGAGGCAGTTCATCTCTGCTGGATGCAAACAAAAGCTTTTTCCCTATCTTTATCTCCTCCAGTGGGGCCCATCATTTCATCGTAGCACTTACAGCTTATAAACTCCTTGACAAATCACATTAAAATTTAGCTTCTCTCAGCAGTTTACTGCCTTGATGTGAAGGTATCGTTTATCACCCTGTAATTCACTTTACCCGGTAAATTCAGTTTGGCAGGTCTGTTGGGTCCGTCTGTAGAAAAGGAATAAAACGAGGAGAGGGGATAATGTTTGAAGTTTAACCACCTTGAATGGAGTTTTATAAAATCAGACAAGACAATGTCAGATCCACAATGTGTTTAGAGTTTCCTTAAAACACTGCGAGCTGCAAACAAACAGTAATTGTAAAAAAACAATGTCTGGTACTCCTCTCTTCCTCCATCTCTCCAGTGAGAGCACCAGTGAGCCTAAAACGCCCGGACGGCTTCCAGTTCAAGCTTGCAAATTTAAAAGAAATACATAGATAGAATATGCGTTGTCAAACTTTTATTGCATTAAAGGAAAGAAAGGGAAGGGTTTGCTACTTGTAAAGGATTCGTTTCCATTATTGGGTTTGGTTCCTTTCTTCAATCCAAGGACTTTACTGCTGTTATTTTCTTTATCACTCCCTCAGGTTCTTTTTAACTCTTACTAAGGTATTATTATCTATCATTAATGTGGTGCACTTTCAGTGTTTTCACTGACAGACGAGACTCTAATTTAAATAGTTTTATGCGGTAGGCTTGTATTTATTCAACATTATTTTTAGTCATGCTCCTCTGACAACATCAAATTAGTGAGATTTTTTTCAGAATTTGGGGATTTTTTCTGCTAATTTGCTAAGATATTACTATCAATTTGCACATGTTACATTACTCTGGAGATTTTTATTCTCATGACAGCAATAAGATAATAAGAAAATAATGTGACAGTACAGTGTCTTGCAAAAGTTGTAAATGCTCTCACTTTTTATCATGACTAAGCAGTTTTGTGTAGCGTTGCGCCGATGCCATTTTTGGCCCCGATACCTGGCTGTGCAGTATTGGCTGATAAAGATACCAATGCGATACCATCTGTTTGATATTGATGTGTGTGTATATATGAAGAACTGCATACTACTTGCATGTAAAATAATTACCATCATGGCTTTGTCAAGCTGCTGCCTACCTTTGTGAAGCAGGAAAAAGACTAATACAAAGTGAATCCAGTAGAACTTTTTATTGCCCTCTGGAATGGGTGACAATAGTTGAATAAACTTTTGGCTCTCAAAATGGTATCGGTGCCCTATTTGTTGGTACTCGCCGATACTGATATGACCATTTTATTGCTGGACTGAGACCCCGCCCGATACTTGTATAGATATCGGTGCAACACTAGTTTTATGATTATGAATTTTACACAAATTAACACTGGAAGACTCACCTAAGCATCACCTGCATTCAATGACCTCATCATGTGCCTCTGCTCTGGCGAATCACCGCCAAGTCGTCATTCCCCTTCAGCCAACCATTCTGTAAGTATTTTACTGTAAGTATAACAGTAAAATATAAAAAGCCCTCATGCTACTGTTATTAAAGCCTGCCTAGAAAAATTAGTCTCAAGCTTGGACTGAAATATGTCTCGGTATGGTAAAGGTCCAGAAGAAGAATCACGATTATTTCTCATAATTGTGACTGATATGACTCTTGTTTTTTTGTGAAGTGCTTTAATTTGATTCAATTCAGTTTTTTTATATTACGCCAATTCACAACCGGCATCTCAAGGCACTTTACAATTCAACCAGATCGTATAGTCAAATTGATTTGAAGTTTTCTATCTAAGAAAAACCAGTTGATTGCATTGAATCCTTGACTCGAAGGGAAATCCCTCACACCAAGCATGCTTGTAGTGAGAGTGGAGAAGAAAACTCCCTTTTAACAGGAAGAAACCTCCAGCAGAAGCAGGCTCGGTGTAAGCAGCCATCAGCTGAGGCCGACAGCGGTTCAAGGAGACTGAAGCAGAGATACAAAATGCAACTGTCAACCAGCCCCATCCATAAAACACAGAGCCTGCCAGACTAGCTCCGAGCCAGCTCCCATGTCAGAGAACAAAGAGAGCACATCCAGCCAGTCACAGTCAGAGAAACAGGATTACACTGAAAAATAGGCCAAGCTCAAACATCTATAAACAAAGGTGCTGATGGCAGCAGCACAGCAGAGTGGGAGAATAGAGATAGAATTATGAAAAAGGGACCCCTCTGTCCTCCAGCAGTCTAAGCCTATAGCAGCATAACTATCATAATTACATGAATCTTTAATTTTTTAATTTAAGACGTTGCAGCTGCCCTTCTTTATTATTATGTGGTAGAATTACTGTTCAGACTTTATGACTCGGATTAAACATGCTTGATATCTTTCAACAGATGTCTCATAACATTTCTAAAAACCCCTTCTATCTAGAATCATGTTTGCTCCCCTCAAAGCTTTACAGTCCTTTCTGCAAATTATCTTTGAGGCTGAGAGCAGGGCTTTGTGATTAACAGCTCCAAAATATTTACCCTTTTGTTTCACCAAAACATCCTAATATCCAGAGCACAGAACCTGCTGACTAGACTTCGCCGCAGTGTTTGTACTTGCATGCAGTGGCTGGTCATAAGATTTTACCCACTAATGAACCAAACTCTTTAGCATCAACTTTTTTTTATAGCATTGATTTTTATATTTTTCACACTGTTGCTCCATGCAGCAGCAAGTTTAAATTGTGCCTTGAAATGCGCAAATAGATTTCCTTTTATTCAACGAAAATTCAGTGGTTTAACCTGTCCAAACCAAGCAAAGATATGACCTTATCACCTAAACTTTCCGGAATTGTTTAAACATTTTACTTAAAAGAAAAAGTAATAAAATGCTTATTTTTCTCAGTTTATTTTTCTCAGTTCAATATTCTGTTTTTTGCAAATGTTACATATAACTGCTAAAATATAAAGGTATAGGTTAATCATGCAGCAATCGTGTTTTCTTAAGGTATATGTAAATAGTATGGAATAATATTCCAGGTAGACGTAATGCTTTTAAGAAATGTACAGTAGGTAATTCCATTGCAAAGAAAAACAAAAATACAAATTATCTATGGATAAAATTAGTTTTATGAATATTTAATTAAAAAAAAAACTTAAAAATTCAATCAAAATATTCAATAAAATTTCAAAGTTTATTTTAGATTTGAATTCAAATTAACTGATGGCATTCAGTTTAATTTAAAAGCAAAATAGCCTTTTAATTAAAACCGAATTGAA